ACTCGTAATTATTATGGATACTCGTAATTATTTTGGATACTCGTAATTATTTTGGATACTCGTAATTATTATGGATATTCGTAATTATTATGGATACTTGTAATTATTATGGATACTTGTAATTATTATGGATGCTTGTAATTATTTTTGGATACTTGTAATTATTAATTATTTCAGATATTTCAAATACTTTATTTAAAATATTTCAAATACTGGTATTTGTAAATGTTTAAATATTCAACAAATCACAAATGTATCTACTAAATTAATACAATAAAATAGAAATCCATATACTTCTGTGCATATTATCATATACTTACACCTAATGATTTAACACCACTACCTTTATCACTCATGTCATCCAGCTCCTGTTTGAAAAAATGGAAATAAGATTATTTTGAATGAATGAAATATATATATATATATATATATATATATTTACATCAGAATTATCCTCATATTCGATATCTTCAGGCTCTTCATCATCAAAAGAATCGATAAATTTAACATGTTTCTAAAGAAAATGCAAAATATAAAAAATAAAATATATATGTAAATATTAATTTTTAGAAGATTTAAAATGACTTATGTCTGAACCCGTATTTTTTTGAGGTGTTTTATTCGAAGTTGATGATTCTTGCAGTGTTAATGCCATTTGAAGAACATTGCTTATTTTACTAGCTTTTTGATATATAGTGGGTGAAATATACGATCTCACGCCCTTGAGACTTTTATGACCAGAGATTGTCATCACTTGTGTGTCATCAACACCACTTTGATATAACCAAATTAGACTAGTAGCACGACCAGAATGGTTGACTATGTAAGGAAACCCTTTTTTCTTACGTCATAATACTATATAATGGTTTTAATTATTAAAAAAAAATACAAGTTATACAAGTTATTCTTTATTAATTACAGAAAGCTTATCTTTTTATACAAAAATGCATAATATAATATTACAATTAAATAAATAAAAAAATATCTTAGAACTTCCCGGAAAGCCGCAGCACTTAATTTGTAACTCATATACATAAGAAAATAATATAAATAATAA